GCCTGCAAGTAGAGACACTGCCCCAACAGCCCAGTGGCGCAGTGTGCCCCCCTTGCCCAGCTGCCCATGCTAATAAGGAGAGGTCTCAGCAGGTGGTCTTCAGGGTCATGGGGGTCACAGGGCCATGGTCCCGCAGGGGGACTGCAGAGCCACAGTGGGTGCCCACTCTGGTCTGGAAGGTTCTAGAGTCTCAGTCACAAACCCAACACCAGAGTGACTGCATGGGATGGGCAGGGAAGGACTGCGCCTGTGGGATCGAAGAACTGGAGCTCTACAGGAAGACAGCTCCTCCCTCTCCCTTGGCTTCTGAACTGCTGGTCTGGAAGTCAGCAGGCCCAGAAACATCACGCTGTGGTTAGTGTGCCCTCGCTTGCCAGCTTCACCAGGAGAGGTGGCGGAGTGTTGGATTCTGGCCACTAGGTGTCACCCCAGCACAGCTGGGCCACCTGGGCCGGCCAGCAAAGGTGTCTAGCTCCTGGCTAGTACAGAGCTCAGAGGTGGGCAAGTATGTGTGTCTGTGTGTGCGTGTGTGTGGAGGGGGTGCGCTATGATGGGGGATGATGGCATGCCTGTGTGCAGGTGACCTGGTCTGTGCCCACTGCGGGGCGGAGATCTGAGGGGACCACCGTCTGAGTCCTCCAGCCCGAGTCCCCCAAAGCCTGGCCTGCGGGACCTGGTTCTCTGCTCCCTGAACCAGGCCGGAGTGTCCATGGCAGCTGGGCTGTTCCCGAACAGAAACTGAGCATGTGTCCCCTATGTGTCTCGGGGCAGCCCCCACCCCACCTCGGCGCATACCCAAGGGGGCCCAGGCTAACCCTGTGAATTCCGCAAGGTAGAGCACGCCTACCTCTGTGTGTCCCTGGGGGTTCTAACAGACCTCCCACCTCTGCAGGGCTGCGGGGTTCTGGACAGACCCCCACCGTAATTCCCTCAGAGGCCTCAGGAGAACCCACCCTCTGTGTGCCATGGGCCCCCCTCTGTGGCTGTGAGCATGCTTGTGCACTGTGTCTCTGTGTATGAGCATGTGGACACGTGCACACACATGTGCGTGTGAGCATGCATGTGCACTGTCTGCATGAACACCTGGGCACCCATGTGTGCATGAGCATGTGTGTGCACGGTCTGTGTGTATGAACATGTGGACACATGGACACACATCTGCATGTGAGCATGCATGTGCACTGTGTGTATGAGCACATGGACACATGCACACACATGCACAGTGAGCATGCATGTGCACTCTGTCTGTGTGTATGAGCACGTGGATACATGCACACATATGTGCACAGTGAGCATGTGTATGCCCATCACAGCGAGTGACTGGCAGGTCAGGATGCACACCATGCTCTTCTTGCTTCATGCCCCCGCTCCCCGGGGCTGGGACCCTCTCTCTACACAGGGGACCCGGGTGTGAGGCAACCCGCCCTCCACCAGCGCCCTGGCAGCCCCACCTTGAGGTCGTAGAAGATGATGTCGCCCAGCAGCAGGTAGACCTTCACGTAGTACAGCGTCTCCTCAGGGAACTCCAGCGGCGAGCTGCACAGCGCCAGCGCCTTGAGGTAAAAGTGCTCAGCCAGCTCGCCCTGGCCCAGCCGGTGGTGCAGGGCGGCCAGCCGGTGGCAGGCCACGCGCTCGTTCAGCTGGTGCCCTGTGTGCAGATGGCATGGCACGGTCAGCCCAGAGCCGGCTGAGCACCCGCCCGCCTACACACGGCAAAGCTGGGCCTGCAGCTGGCAGGTGGGCTGCTGGGGCCACTAGGGGCACCTGGGGGCATCGGGTTGGCAACTGGCTTCTGTGCCCCCCTGGGTCCATCCTTGCTGACTCCACCATTCCCATGCCAGGCCCTCGGGGGCAGCCCCCAGGCCCTAGTCTCGGGGTGCAGTGACAGAGGGGCCCCAGGCACTCAGGGACCCACCTCTGGGTGGGAAGTTCACCCAGGGTGAGGGGGGTGGGGGCAGTGAGCACAGAGCGGGGGCTCCACTTGGCCATGAGATGGGCAAGGGTCCTGAGTGTGGGTGTGGGGTGTGCCAAAGATTGGGGCCTAGCACTGGGAGGGGGCTCCCCTGGGACAGAATGAGTGGGTGAGGGGCTGGCAGGGGGCCTGGGGAGTGGGGTGGAGCCTGTTGCACCTGCTCCTCAGGTCCTAGGATTGGGAGCATGCAGGGAACTCGAAGGCAGGAGGGCTGGGGACTCACCCAGGGTGACGCTGAGCGCCAGGGCTGTGTGCGCGAACTCCAGCCCCTCCTGGGGGGGGCCCAGGGTGCTGAGAAGCACCGTCAGCTTGTTACACAGCCGCAGCTCTGCCTCCTGGCTCCCCGTGGCCAGTGCCAGAGGCAGCGCCTGGTCCTGTGGCACAGATGTGGTCAGACACCCTCCTGGGAGCCCCAGGCAGCCCCCAGCTGTCCCCCAGCAGAGAGGCCGGGCCCATGCTACAGAAGGAAAAACTAAGACCCAGCTAGCAAAGCCCTGTGCAGGGAGCCTGCAGAGCGGGGTTGACCGCCTGGCCACCCACCAAACCTCAGCCCCCACCCCACCTGGACTCCAGGGCCCAGGATGCCCCCAGAACCTGCTCAGTCTCCACCCCCACTGTTTGCACCCGAGGGCCATGCAGCACCTAAGCCCAGACCCTCCCCCAGCTTCCCTACTAACTCTCCGAGCCTCGGTTTCCCCATCTGTGCAGGGGGAAGGCCACTGTGGCTCAGCACTGTGTGCCTCGTGCCAGGGCTCTAGCTGTGCGGGCGCGTGCCTGGCTGGCCGCAGCCCCCAGCCTCACCCTGTAGAAGGTCAGAGCCTTCTCCTGCTCCCGGCTGCCGTTGAAGAAGATGTCCCCAGCTGCCTCAAACAGCTCCAGGCCCAGCCGGGGGTCCCCAGTGTACAGGGCCGCATTCTGGGCCACCTGTGGGGACAATGTGTGAGGCCCTGGCCCTCCGCCGGGCTCTCCGGTGAGGTGGCTCTTCCACCCTGGGGCCTGGGACTGTGTCTTTGTTTAAAGAGGGGCCTTGGCAGCTCCTATCAGCTAAGCCACCCTGGGGTCACACCGGGCAGGGGGGGCCCTAGTTCCGTCTAAGCAGCATACTTATCACAGAGGAGAGACGGAGAGGGGAGCAGAGGGGCGATCAGGGGTTGAGGCTGCAGGGCTGCAGCCACAAGCTGAGGAGTTTCAGGGCCACCAGAGCTGGGACAGGGGCTGATCGCCCCGGGATGGGGTGGGGGCTTCCAGAAGGAACAGAGATAGGCACCAGGACTTGGTGCTCAGCCTCCAGGGCCGAGCACTGTCCCAGCCTGTGCCCTGAGCCTGGTGTGTCTGCGTCCACCGTCGCCTCTCTCCTCTCACACCCTCCCTGGAATGACCAGCCATCCTCTCCTGAACCTCGATCCCAGGAATACCGGGGCCCCTCCAGCAGGGCTGGGCTGTGAGGAGCACTGGTAGTGCAGTGGGTCAGGTGTTGGGCTGTTGACCACCAGGCTGGCAGTTCAAACCCACCAGCTGCTCCGAGGGAGAAAGATGAGGCGGTGTGCTCCTGTAGCGATTTCTATCCTCAGCAATTCCCTGGGCCTGCCTTACTCTGCCTCACAGGCCATGGTGAGCAAGCACCCACGTGGTGGCTGCGGGCGTGGCTGCATGGCCTTTAAAGCAGTTGCTCTTTGCTTTCTCTTGGTGGGCCTGGTCCAATCAGCGGAGGTTATAAAGGAAAGACCTAATCTCCCAGGAGAGAAGGATTTGGCCTCAAAACTATCACAACCCCCCTACCCTTCACCGGAGGGGGCCCAGGATGCCACCTGATGGCTTGCCAGCCCATGACCTCGTGACCTGATGTGTTAAACTCACTGCCAGCAAGTGGACGACGACTCACGGTGACCCTTGTGGGATCCTAAGGTAACTCCCTCCAAATATACACACTGGACCACTGTCAGGGAGGCCACGGAGACTCCCGCCACCCAGGACAGGCATCCACAGCCTCATCTTCCTTCCGAGGAGTGGCCAGTGGGTCTGAACTGCCGACCCTGCAGCGAGCAGTGCCCCTGGGGCTCCTGACACACGCGTATATGGTCACGGGTCGAGTGTGTCCCCCAGGCATGTGTCCCAGGGCTGAGCCCTGATTCTCCACGTTTGTCATGATGTCATCCCCTCTCCCACGAGAACATGAGGACTAGGGGGAGGTGGGAAGTGGGGAACCTGAGGGGCCCGGGAGGGTGAAGGAGTGAATGATTCACCAAGTCAGTGAATGAATGCACACACCAGCACCACTCTGCCCCCCTCTCCTGCCCTGCCCCCCTCTCCCCAGGTGCACGGCCCCCAGCCCTGGCCCCACCCTCACCTGCAGGCAGGCCTCCAGCCCCATACCCCCTGCACCTGGATGTACAGGTCCACCAGCTCATGCTGCTGCAGCCGGTAGTAGATCTGGCCAGCCCGTAGCCATGCGTGGGCCTCCTTCCGCTTCTCCTGCAGGTCGATGAAGATGGCCAGGCTGCGCTTGGTGTAGTCCAGCGCTGACCTGTAGGCCCTGCCAGACACTGCCCATCAGAGGCCCGTCCTGGGGACCTGCCCCAGGTTCTGTTCTTGTGTGTGGGTTCCTTGGTCCAGCACTGAAACAGGCTGGGGGTGAGGTGGGGGGGCAGCAAAGCTAGAAGCCTGGCCCTGCCCTCTCCTTGCTGCCCAGGCCAGGTCAGGAGGAGGGGGGTGTCTCTGCAGCATGCCACTGTCCCCTCCCTACCCCTTCCGTCTGCCATCAGGGGACTGAGACACCTCCCCCCGCAAGGGAGCAGGTGGAGCAGTGGCTCAGCCCCTCCATGCCATCCCCCGCCCCCGTCTCCAGCTTCTTCCCACGTCAGGGGCATAGAGGGAGGAGACAAATCAGGGCAGCAGTGACCACTCAGGTAGGCCGAGGACAGTGCAAAGGTGCACAGACTACCTAGGGACACCCCCTGCCCCTCGGGGGACAGTGCTGCCCGCCAGGCGAGGGCCCTCACTCACCGCTCCGTGCCCAGGGACAGGTACAGCTGGCTGATGGTCTCTAGGAGTCGGCCCTCCCGTGCCCTGTCGGCCGTCCTGTGGACCAGCGAGAGCTGCAGCTCATGGTAGACCACAGAGTGGGCCTCGCTGGGCTGCACTGAGCTGTAGAAGTGGCACAGGCGCTGGACGGCACACAGCTGGCCTGGGCAGGCGGGACAGGGGGCGGTGGTCACCTCAGGGCCCCCAGAGGCCGTCTGCATCTGCTCTACACCCACAACTTCTGGTCCAAGCAGCCATGAGCCTGTTGTTCAGGAGTGGGGGGCCTGCCTGTGGGGTTCATCTAGGGGCAGCCCACAATGCTGGCATGCCAGGATGCTGGGCTTGGAACACAACGTCAGGGTGGACACCCTCTGCGTGTGGTTGAGCCTCAAAGGCCCCCGGATGAAACGGGCACCATTGACCAGGGGGTCAGCGGGTGACCACTCAGAGCTGGAGGGAGTGAGCTCCCAGGTCACAAAAAGACACAGAGGGTCCCTAGTGGCTGTGAGAACCAGAAGAATTGTCAGTTCAAACCCCCAGCAGCTCCTCAGGAGACACAAAAGGCAGTCTGCCTCCGTGGAGCTAGACAGCGGGGACCCCTGGGAGGACCTTCCACACTGTCCTAGGGGTGGGTCACCCCGGGCCAGAGGCGGGTGGAGTGTGGACCTGCTGCCACTGTCCGACTCCCACTACAGGGAAAAACAAAACCACAGAGACGGCGAGCGAGAAGAGGGGCTCCCAGGGGGAGAAGAGCCAGCTCTGGGAGAGTGCCACGCCATGGGCAACATGCCCTTGTCAGGGCCCACTGGGTGGCACCACCACCACCTCCACCACCGAGACTGGCAGCTCGGAAGACTGTGGCACCTTGTTAGCAACAATGTATCTGTTCCGGTCATTGGTGGCAACAACGTATCATAGCTGTGCACGTGCTGTTCCCAAGGCTGGGAGCCACAGCAGGCCTGTGAGCGCCTGAGTGCCGACACTCCAGGACTCGCTGGTCAGCAGAAAGACAGAAGGTTGCGTCCCCTCAGAGCAGCCTCCACAGAGAGACTTGGCCGCCTACCTCTGACAAAGCAGGCACCGCTCACCCTTCCTGCATGGCCCCGGGTTGGAATCGGGGGCCCTGATGTGGCCTGTCAGTGTGGTGTGGGGGTGGAGGGGATGGGGGCAGGCACCGAGGCGACTACACTCCTGCTCCTGCCTAACGTTTGCAGAGCCTCCAGACGTCTCTCAACCATAAGGCATATTTACAACCACACCGCACGCCCCACTGCGGCTGGAGAGAGAGGGACGCCGACCTCCAACCCGGACGGATGCGGAAGTGCTGGGCGCCGAGCCGGGGAGAAAGCATGCTTCTGGGTGCCTGGTGGGGACCCTGAGAGATGGACTTGGGGGTGGGGTGGGAGCGTGGTACTTACTCTCAAAGTGGCCGGTCTCCATGGCCACCAGGAAGGCCCACTCATAGCAGTGGCAGCTCTGGCGGGCCAGGCCCCTGCAGGCATACAGGTGGGCCAGCAGCAGCAGCACCTGCGTAAAGTCGCAGCCCCACTGCTTGCCAGGCAGCCTGGAGAAGTGCTTCACAGCCCCCACCAAGTAGTGCTCCGCAAGCTGCCCGGCGCCTGCCTGCGAACACAGCACCCCGAGGTTGGCCAGCACCACGGCCTGGTCCCGCTGCCGGCCCCACCGCCTGGCCGCACGCAGGGCGCAGTAGTAGCCCTCGGCCGCCCGCCGGGTCCTGCCCAGCCTCCTCAGGGCCACGGCCTTCATGTTGATGACCACACCCTCCTGCTCCTCGCTGGCCGCGGCCGAGTGCTCGATGGATTCCAGGACCTCTAGGGCCACCGCACTCTGCCCCCGGAGCAAGTGCATCCAGGCCAGGGCCACCAGGTGGTCCACGACAGGGTGGGCTCCGGATGGGGCCTCAGCATCCACGGCCCGCATCAAGAGGGCCCCGCCCCGCCCATGCTGCCCGTGGTCACTGTGCACTTGGGCCAGGCTGACATAGAGCGAGGCCCGCAGCGTCCGCTCTGTCCTCGCCGCAGAGGAGGCCAACGCCTGCCACAGGTAGGGGGCGATGAGGGCCGGAAGGCAGGGGGCTGCCTGCCACGGGCCGTGGAGCTGTGTGGCGTGGCGCAGGACCAGGTCCACACTCCACAGGGCACTGGCCAAGGAGCCTTGTGCACGCAGCGAGGCCACACGGACACAGCTCAGGGCCAGATGGGGCAGGCACTGGCGGCTGTAGATGTCAGCCAGCCGCTGGTAGCAGCCGACGAGCCAGGTGGTGTCCAAGGGCTCCAGGTGGCTCTGTAGGACCAGCAGTCTCTCCAGGAAGGGCAGGGCGCCCTCAGGCTGCTTGAGGCTCCAGTGGTGCCGGGCCAGCAGGAAGCAGGCCCGGGCCTCAGCCGCTGCACTCTGTGCCCGCACTGCCCTTCCCAGGGCCAGCTGCAGCAGCTGGGCCTCCGAGCCACAGACGGGGCCCGGCGCGCCCAGGAGCAGGGCCACCGCCTTGCCTACCGTCAGCACACACTTGTCCCGGTTCTTCTGCCTGAGGTGGACAGTGGCCAGGAGGCTGTACAGGGCCACGGTGAGGGGCAGGTCCCCGAAGCAGCCACCCAGGGCGCCCAGGGCCTCCTCCAGGTACACCCGGGCCTGCGAGAGCTTCAGCTTCCCGACGCAAAGCCGGCCCAGCAGAAAGCACAGCCTGGCCAGGGCCATGGGCAGGCCCGCCCTCTTGGCCACCTCCCGGGCCCGCGCCAGATGGCCAGCCAGCTCCTCCTCATCGGCCAGGCTGCAGGGCGAGCTGCCGGGTCCCAGCGGGGACGGTGCATACAGGTGCCTGAAGGAGGCCTGGTATCCAGGGAAGTCCAGCCACTGCAGCGTCGTGCCCAGTGCTTGCGGGTCTGTCCAGTCGGCCTCTGTGTCCAGGCGGAAGCTAGGCTCCTTGGTGTTGGCTGGGCTCTGCCCTCCGGGCTCTGGGGACAGTCCCCAGGATGCTGGCTCCCTGGGGCAGGCCTGGCAGGTCTTGCACTGTTCCAGAACATTCCTCACCTTCTGCAGGGTCTCACTGGGCTGCAGGTTGAGCTCTGCCAGTGGGGGCTCTGGAGGTCACAGACACAGCAGGTGAGAGGGAGTCTAGGTCTAAGCCCTGGGACAGGACATACGTCACCCAGGGCCTGGGCCCTGTGATGGGGCCTCAGTGTCCCCATGTGTCCCCCCCCTCCCGAGGCTGCAGTGAGCTGTGGGGATGTTCGCTGTCCGTGGGCCAGCCCACTCTCCCAGGGGTCCTCCTCACCTCACCCGTGACCCCCCTGGTTTGAAAGCAGGTTTTGGGGTTATCAGTGATTGCTCCCAAATTCACTGCCCTTTACAAACACCCAGACCATCCAAAGGGCAGCATACACTCCAAGATAAAGGTCCAGGCCAAGGAAGGAGGAGAGGGGGGTCAGGGAGCCCAGGGAGGACTCGGGGTGGGCGATGGTGCGGATGAGGGGCAGTCTCCATGAGGAGAAGCAGAACGCGTCAGGACTGCTGAACGGAAAGCCGATCGGCTCTGCCAGCCTCCACCATGCCCGAGGAATACGTTTCAATAAAGTATCTACACAACACTGTCTCACAGGAAACCAGGTTTCCATAGGACAGAGTCACACGCGAAACAATGTATCTATACAGCACAGCTTACAGGTGAAACAGTACACGCGCACAGCTACATGTGAAATAGTGTATCTACACAGGGACAACTGCATTGGAAACAATGTATCTATATGACAGTTGCACTTGAAATAATGTGTCCATACGGCTCAGCTATGCATGGAACAATATGGACACAATTGCATGTGAAACAATGTATCCGTACGCTCCGTTATACATGGAGCTGTATCTATACAGACACAGTTACACATGAAACGATGCATCTACATAACAGTTACATGTGAAACAATGTATCCATGACACATCACACAGAAACAGTGTATCCATATGGCAGTTATGTGAGAAACAATGTATCAATATGGCATAATTACACACGAGACAGAGATCCAGCCATTAACCAGTGGGCCCCACAA